AATAGTTTGAGATTCAACAACACTTATCAAATTACAAACGATTAATATAAATTTGGTTCAAAAGCAAAACTATACTTCAAATACAAAACTAAACATAAAAAACTTTGGTTCCAAATCTATTCTAGATTTCTTTTACTTTTGAGAATAATCATTTTATTTATACACAACAGTGTAAAATTACTTAATAATTGAAATGAATAAAAAGACTTCTCATATATATTTCAATACATATCTTTATTGATGAAATATTTAACATCATTGGTGGGAGTGTCATACGTTTAGTACTGTTTCCGATAAATGATAAGTGGTTTGGATATATCTGATGGCAGGCTATTTACATTAACTAATCGATTCCGTTTTATATTATCCATGCTTTATATAGTAAGCGTTAGATTGTGTAGCCTGTCTGAGGTTTTGAGTCTCAATGTAATTCGTCGAATTAAAGTCAAAATAACCTTTTTAAAAAGCATTGCTTTGAATGTTTATCAAGGATTTCTTTATCTTATAAAGAAGAACAAAGAAGAAAGTCAGATTACAACAGAATATTACTATTAGTAACATGTTTTTTCCTTTGTTCGCATGGTTTGATATCTAAACATAGATCTATCTAAAGGTTCATCATCAGCAAAAATTACTGGTAACGATTGCGTCACTCTATCCAAATTTCTGATTTTATCATTACTATTAACTTTATTATCCTGAACGAATATACATATTAATTCCAGAATGTTAACTACAAAACTGTTCAATTCGTGTGTACAATAGGAATTGTAAGTTACTCATTGGATGTCATAGTTTAGATTTTATTTGTATTTAAAATATGTTTCTTATTTTATTTTATACTAATGCAATAAAATTTCGAACTAAAGTGAAAAGTAGGGATATTTTTGTACAAAAAGAATTTAAGTTCGTTCAATATTCTATATATTTAGAAAGTTTGTGTGATATTAAAATCAAAAATATAAATACTTTAAATATGGCTACTTTAATATACTTTTAAAGTTAGAATCTACATCTATTACTGATATATACATTATATTTGACGTGTAAACAAAAATACGAATTATTTGTCTTCATCAAGAGCACGATAGTGATAGAAACTGGATGAGCTAATCACCGATAACCAATTTGAATTGTTAATTAAGCGGATTCTGTTAATTTTTTATCAATTTGATGAAATTTTGTGCAATCTTTTTCTTTGGATTTTTAACTGGAGATCATCAAAAATGTTCCTTGACGCAGGCTACTTAATTCTTGTTTTTCTTACGTACATTGAAAACAACATAAAACTATTGTATTTTGTTATAGAAATTTTTATTTCTTATTAGCCACTCAAAAACAAAACATCAAATTAACTAGTTGTAAATAATCTTGAAACTATGAAGTGTGATTAAGATATTAAATTATATTTAATTTTTTTTTTACAGTTTTCCATAAATTTGAAGTACTTCATGAAAATTAACGAAGCTTTAAAATTGGCTAAGAACATTTCAGACAAAAATATATTTTAACTTATAGATTTTTTTTGGAAACAACTATGTTTTTCTTGAAAAAGAACAAGGCAAAATTAGAACTTCAAAAACAAATCTAAAAAGTTTCTCGTGGTGATAATTACACTAATCTTTTACAATATCCCTCTGTGTGATCTTCTTTGTCTCTTTCGTCTCTCATACTCAAGGTTGTAACATATGTGATATAGACACAACATTAATTGGCACAGTAGTATAGTTAGCATTCATTTTGTGGATAGCGTTAATGATAGTCTTTCAGATTCTCATTACAATTTATGATAAAATAAGCGACTATACTAATGAAGGAATCCATGAAGTTCCCGGGCGTAGTTGATTAGATTACTAAATATAAAGTCGAAAAATGTTGTTTTATTCATTTTTAATATCGACAGAGATAAAATGAGGTAAAGTAAAAGATAGATGAGTTCTGTTCAAAATTTAAAGAATCATAAAAAATCCACACATTCATCTTTGCACGATACTATGCTGATTTTCTTTTACACAAAAAGTTAACTAATCAAATCAATTAATTGATAAATTAAAATCTGATCTTCATCAGTTGAATAAGTTTAATTCGACTTTGTTTGTGATCAATTTCATAAATTTACTGTGTGCCTTCGTTCTATGAAGGATGTTACAGAGTCTGTTTTTAAATTTCCACTTATCAAGGACACGACAAGGACAAAACGTTCAATGCTTCGAAAAAATCTCAAAAATTGCGTTCTAATTATTATAAAAGTGCTCTTTTATTTTATAATAATCATAATGCTTAATTCAAAAATGAAGTTTTGTCATGCCTAGCATCGTGACATACTCTTTCAATCGAAAAGAAAAAGCAAATGACTACCTTGAGGCTCTTTCAAGAACTCTGGAAAGTGCGATTAAAAAAAGTATAAACAAAGAAAAACTAAAAAAGTTTGTCTTGGTGTTTCTAATAATAACATATTTTTCTAGCAATTGACGAGAGAAATCATTAAAAATTTTGTTCAAAAACGAAGATGTCAAATAATAAAAATCATGTCATTTGTGAAAGATGATACCTTGAGCTATCTTTTCATGCATTAATCTTAATTTCGATAATTCTAACAAAAGATTAACTTTTGTTTTTCAGGCTACTTTAAAGAAAATTTTACTGCATCGCTTGCAAATCCATGCAGAACCATGTCAACTTTAGTTCACTTCCATGTACGTAACAGAAATTTATAATATATCCTCGATTGAATAGAGCACGTCTTTCTCCATAAAAAAAATACTTGTATCAAATTTTGTAGTCAACAAATTTAATAAAACTTATAGTCAGTTTTTCTGGATCTTAATAGTTTGTCATAAAATTTCTATATGAAAATAAAACAATATCTTTTCAAATTATCGATAAATTACGAAATACAAGTAAGACAAATCATATTCGAAATGAATTCTATTCATCTACTCGATCCGAATTTTTATGAAATTTTCTTTTTTTACAATTAATAACAAAAGTTTCAAATAGATTAACATATTAGATAATCTTGCTGAGTCAGATTCTTCTTAAAGACGTTCCATGTTCTATATTTTATATATTCATCAACAAGCAAAACATAGTATTGGAATGAGAAGATGGATGTAACTCGAAGAAATACCTATGGTAGAAGCGATACACTTACTATTATTCCTGCTTACTATAGTGATAGAGCGTGTTTTTATGATTGACATGTTTTTCATTTAGTACTAATACATGATTATTTCGAATAGTTACAATAGAGATGGATAAATCAGCTTTTTTCTGACATAAGCTGGAAGTCATTGCCTTAAACTTTCTTCAAATTTCATGATTTATTTATGTCAATTACTTTACTGAAAAAAAGTTTTACATTAGTTCTTGATTATATTTTAGCATGCTTAACGTTTATCATGTTTTTCTAGACAGTTTAATCTTATGTTCTCGAAAAAGAAAATCAGTTTGAAAACATATTTTTTTCTACACATAATGATTTTGTAAACACTTCATTTAAAGATTTGTACTTTTTTTCGAATGATTATAATCAATGTTTGAGAAAAAGTTTTGTGCTTTAGTGTTGAATATTATTGGTAATTGTTCTCGATCTGTAATATTTAGAGTTTACGTTTTGTCGTCGACTAAGAATTACGTTCAAATATTATTAATAAATAGACTTTTCTTATTAAAATAAAAAGTTTACCTTTATGTAATGAGAATCTAATATGTATTTTAGACGCAAAAATTTGTCTGACTTAATTTATCTTATACATCTCCGACTTGTAGTTTATTATGATATGATAGGTCTCATTAACTACCAAATACAGAAAGAAGGTAAATGTGTTGTATTGCAGTATGAATGAGTCATTTACGTTATGTCAGATAAACCTGATTAGATTTTGCATCTCTTTAGTTTCCCATTACGGATCTGAATAGTTCATAATAGCTGTTGGCAGACATTCATAAAATATTTGTTGGCTTAACTGCGAATAACAGTAACAGACTAAGATTTAAATGACGATTCCATTTGACCATTCTATTGTCGAAATTTTCTATAAACAATCCACAGATTTCGATTTCTTACTTCCAGAAACTTTCAGTTAAGTTTTATAAAAGAAAATTACATATTTTCACGATGTAGATCTTGTTTGATCAAAAGAATTCTAATAAAAAAACTTTACAATTAAATATTTGATCGAATCCTTCATTTAGTGTTTTTTCAGTTGCCATGATACATAAACACGTTACCATCGATTTGATAAACGTTTACTAACAGCAACTGATTATCTATATTCGCAACATAAATAAATACACAAAAGACTCGATCGCGACATAAGTATTGTTCATACCCAAAGAAAAAAGAATACCTAAGTGGATTGTTGATAACTAACATAAATGATTCATTCGCAGTTCAATATTACAAGACTGAGCACTTTTTCAAAAATTAGCAAGTAGTACAAACTACGACTTATTAAGAAATAGTACAGGATGAGGATTATCACTTAAGAGTAAATAAATAAATGTAAAAGTATTTACTTATCGCAGCTATAAATGAATTCTTCTAATCATTAAAATACTTACTGTGACCTTGATAAATGAAAAGAGACATAAATATTAGTATGATAATCCTAATTACCATTCTTAAACGCATAGAAACTCAAAACTAAAAGTATTTTCTATTTACGATTCTATGAACACTATTTTGAGAGTTACTTTTTAATTTATTATTTACGTCAATAATAAGTATAGACAAGTGTGAAAACTAAATATTAGGATAAATACGAAAATTTCAACAATTTATTCAATAAATACCACAGAAAGCTTCAAGAAACAATATTGTATAAAAAAAAAACAACTACATAATATATCCAATACGATCCAAAGAAGTATGATTTCTAAGCTCTTTCAATGAAAAATCAACATGTAGACGAGCATGTTGCATGACAAATGTTGAATGTTCTCGTTGAAACATTCCTTATTTAATTTAGAAAAGATTATATTAACTAATTCAAATCTCATGACGATTGAACTAAATGTGCTGTTGATGATGATGGTAGCGTTGTCACTGGTATAATTGTTACTGTATCTTCAAATGTATCATTAACTTCTTCTAGTTGTTCTATAGTTTGTTCATAAGGTGGAGGTTTACCAAAAATACTATCAATTGTTGCTGAATAACGAGGTGGATGTGGATATTGATGTGATTCTCGTTGTTGTCCATCGAAATTTTCTATCGAATGATTTGTTGTCATATTGGTTTCTTGTTGTTGTTGTTCTATAAAAATCAATATTTAATTCAAAATAATAGTTATTTTATATTTTCATACCTCTTCCTAATCGTTTATGTCTACATCGAAAATAAATAGATATAGCAATAACCACGATTACAATGGCCAAAGGTACAAAAACTGCTACAGCACTAAATGAAAAAATATCTTTTTTTTTTGTTTTTTGAAGTATCTCTCAATATCTCAATGTACTCACAAATAAACGGTAGTATTTGGAGGACAAGGAATAGTTATATTTGTTCTAGCTTGATAACATTCAGCCATTTTTTCGAATTTATAAACAAATAGATACAATAAAACGTGAATGTAAATCTTATGTTTACCTTTAGTTATTCTGTTTTACGAATCAATAATTTCTTTATTAACCATACTCCAATCAAAATTATGCTTGAGTCAGTTGTTTTTCTCCTTCTCTTGTTTTGAATTAATGAATAAATAGAAAAACATGTATACAAGGGCACATCTTCCGTCGTGTTTACTATTTTCTTGTCATTATAATTACTCGTCTCGTATGGAACTTATATTGACTACAATATTATATGTGTTTTTCTTCACTTGTTAAACTAAACTATCATTAGTTAATAGGATTATTTATTTAAATGAATAATTAATTTATGTCCATAATTATTGCTTTTAGCACTCAATAGATGATTTTTTTCTTGTCCTGTGTGTACATATGAGAAACGTTATTGAAGGAAAGCTATATTATACTAATGAGTCTTTGATAAGAAATTTGTAAGTATGAGTTTATATTCTATTATAGTTAGTTCTTCATTTTAAAGTGTCTTTCTCATCTACTTTTTTCATGATAGATGGATTCCTCTTCTTTTTCTTTCATGTGATATACAATAACCAGTATGTTCAGTAAAACAAATAAACTAAAAGAATTACTTTGAATTAATTACAAGAAATGAGTTGATGAACTAGTTCTCTGATTAGATCAATGGCATTGCAGTCATAAAATAACATAACTCTAACATTTCCATCTGTTTTCTTTTATCTGTATTCTTCTATTCTGACATGTCATCTAAGTATGTTTATATATTGCTTTTCACAGCTGCTAAGCTCGTGATCAAGATGTTGAGCATATTTCGACGAAATTTAATATGTAGAAAGACGATCATTCTTTCTAGGTTTCTCTGTTTGCGTCATTTCTCAAAAAAAAAAATACAACTGTAAGACTAATATTTCTCACACACAAATAATTGAAAATAAATATAGAATATACAGTTGTTTATATGAATGAAATATTGTAAACAATTTGATTCGAAGTATATAAGTTGATTGAATCATTTTTATAAATTGTTGATAAAAATATCTTAAAAAACACATATGACTCATCGACATGTTTACCTTCTTGATTGTAATAGAATAGCAAAAAAAGTGTTGTTTTTTTTAAGGGTTTCATAATCACTTCTTACTATGTAGTTTGATAAAAAAAAAAACTAAATGTTATTTGTACTCAATATACATTTCAATATTTTGTGATGATGGTTATTCAAACACATCGATAACATTTCATAAGATATATATATATATATTGATCTTTTTTTCTATAAAATAAAACTTCATAGACGTTAAAAGAATTTAAAAAAGAAAGTTTTTGCTTCAAATTTACTCTTCCGAAGAGACGATTTAAAACCTCACGAGAATGAACACGTTTTTTTTTTCGAAGCTCATGAAGGAAGTCCTTGAGCTTATAAATCACTTTTAAGTCGAGACTTGATACTCTTAACTTATTGCTGACGAGTTACTGCACCACTCTCACGATGTTTTCTTAAATGAATGTCTGAGTGTTTCTTTCAGAAAAACATTTTTTCCAACTTTGACTTGAAACTTTGGAAAGAGATATATTTTTTTTTTCTGAATATCTCAGATCTTATTGTTGTTGCTATTCTAGGATAGATGCAAGTCAAAAGACATGAAACTACTCTTATTGAGGTTTGTCTATATGCAAAATTTCACATTGAAATTCGAAAATCAGTTTTCATCCTTGGAAGAGACTACAGCATTCATTTAAAAACTACCATAAAAAAAATAGTATTTACGCAGCAATACGTAAAGGATGTGAACTCTTTTTCGAGTATTTCTAGTTCATTTAGATCTACGTGACACACGTAGTCTCGACACATAAGCGACTGCTCAGTTGGAAGACTTCCGCCATCAAACACATTGTATGTAGTACAATAAGTACAAACTTCAAGAAGACGAATCTGATGTTCGGAGAGGGGTCACCTCCTCGACTGCCATGCTGAATAAATTATTGTAACGGTTTATAAAATATCACTAATAATACTCTTGAAAAAAGCATATGAATAAACATTGATTATGTTTTCAACTAAATTCAACTTTTGAATTATATTTGTATTATACATAAATTGACTTTTCTTAGTTTTATGTCTTATTTAATTTTGTATTTTTAATAACCTTTTCACATTTAAAATCTGCAAGTTTATTATAATTTGAAAGATAGCAACACTTGTTTATTTATTTAAGATAAAAATCATACACATATATACACAAGGAAAAAAAAATATATTCAATAGTTCATAATAAGTCTTTTCTTTGTAATAATGATATGAATTATGTTGAAGTTCCACCAGCTTTTCCAGCTACATCTCCTGGACGAATTCCTGGTTGAGCTGAATCTTGATAACCAAGTAAATTTTGTCCTGGTATTATATTTTGTGTTACTGATGATTCATGTAATTTAGCACCAGCTTCCTGTTCTTTTAATCCTAGTTTTGCTTTTTCAGCTTGATGTCCAATAGTACCATCTTCAGCAACAGGTACACCTTCTTGCTTTTCCAATTCTAATTGTGGCGCGCTTGTCATATTTCTTGAATGTATGAACGCAATAAAAAAAGAAGAAAGATGTTTTATTAACAATGAATAGAGTTGATTGAGTATAAAATTCTTTCTGTCTTTTTTTCTTTTTCTTTACATGATTGATACCATGGTAACACACGAATATAATTCAATGACGTTTTCTGTAGTAGTTTTTTTTTTTATTCATCAGAATCGAACCAACACAAATGTATGTTGTAAAGGAGAACAGAGAAAAAGATAGATAGAGCAAAGAAAAAGCAAAAGACGCAGAAGAAGAAAGGATTATTCATCATATTTGTTGTGTTTTTGTTGTTTGGTAATAAATTAACATTATAACCGACAATGAAACATGAAGAAGATACAAGAAAATGAACATCTATATAGTTGTTTTGTTTTTCTTTTTTTTTTAATAAATGAACTGAGATTGTTTTGCTTTTCATTTCGTCATAAAGGCAAACAGATAGATATACAAAAGTGTGTTTCTTTTTTTTTTGCTTTATCTACTTTAAACAATTATCAGACATTTAGTTTGAAGGATAAACAAGACAAGAAGAAAAAAAAAAAATCAGAGAAAAACAGAAAAGAAGAAAAACACTCTAATCTAATACACAGCCTAACACATGCAGAAAAACAAAACATATAAACCTGCCGTACAGGTATCACTGAGAAAAAAAAGACGAGCTAAAGCATTCAGAATTTGCCTATATGGAAGAAATATTATTCCTGATCGGGAAACAAGGAGCACCAGTACACTTGAGAAAAATAAATGCAAGACATTAAACATACACACTCACTGTTAATATAAAAATTGCAAATAGAATATATATATTAATTTTTAAGCCAAGGATGTTCAAGTATTGCCTCAAGTGATGGTCGCCTTTCAGGATTTTGCGCAAGACATCGTTGAATTAAATTTTTTAGTTCACTTGATAAATATGATTTTAATACTAATTTATGTCCAGTTATATCTTCTTCACTTTCAAAAGGTAAATTACCGCATACCTATGAAAAAAAAAATTTCAAATAAAACAATTTTTTTTTGCGGAGGGGGTCCTATAACTAACCATATCATAGAGTAATACACCGAGTGTCCATACAGTTGATGGTATGCCTGTATAACGTCTTTTTAATATATATTCAGGTGATTTATATTGTTTAGTTCCATGAAAATCTGAATAATATGACACTGGTGATTTATATATAGCACTAGCACCAAAATCAATTAATACAAGTGATTCAGTATCAAGATCAACTAAGATATTTTCACTTTTAATATCACGATGAACAACGCCTTTTCTAAAACAAGCAAAAAAATAAAATAAAATAAAATATGTTAATCAACGAAGACTTAATCGTATTTTTTCACCAAATCTAATCGGTTTTTATCAAGAAAATTGTTTTGATCCATCTAGTTTATAGAGTACATCAAGTTAACTAAAAAGTATTATTTTTTTTTTCGTTTGGGAACTATTACTGAGGTCACCAGAAACATAATTCTTTTTTTCTCTAATGATTTTCACAGAAAAAGAACAACTCATTTTATTTTATGAATCAATAGGGAAAAGAAAGATTTATGTTTCTGGTGACCTTAATGATAATTCTCAAATGACAAAAAAAAATAGTATTTTATAATCAACTCAATGTACTCAACAATGTATATGAATCAAAAAAGTTTTCTAAAGTCTTAGGTACACGTCTTGTATTGATATTGAGAATTAACATGATCGATTATCTACAACTCACTAGATTTACTGAAGAAAGCAATTAGACAGTTAGGGGTCATCCTTTATAATAAAAATTTGTTTTTTCAACCTAAAAGAGATAGTCTAGAATGTCATCTTTAATAAAAATTTGCGTGTTCACAAGTGTGGACTCTTGACATGAAATGTACCTATTCTATGATTTGATTTATATGAAGCATAATAGGAAAATACAATTTATTAAAGTAGCAGCTGTTGTCAATAATTACATATTCTTCATGTATGAGAGAAAAATTTTTTTCAAACATAATTTCTGCATTATTTCATTGCTGATATTGATCTTAATCATTTTATACTTCTAGTAGTCTTGACCTTGCGAGTAGTGATATGCATTGTGACTGGTCATGATTGTGAGTGCAATATTTATTTTAAAATGATTCAAGTTCATAGTCTAATAATGAAATTTTTTTCGTAGAAACAAAACATTGGTAAAAAAAAATCCAAAATAAAGTGTTTTTGACATATCATCAATTTGGAAATTGAATATCGTGAGGAAAAAAAAATGTTGTTTTCTTTTAAACTTTTTTTTTCCTATTCTCACAGAGATCTTCTCATACTCATAATAAAAAGTTAAAGGGCATCCGACATTTGAATATGTTTTTTAATCAGCGGCATATTATGTTTGATTTTTTGATTACAATATTGCATTATCTCTAAATTTTGTAATGTTATATTCACAATAACTAATGATAAATTGTCTTATTGTAAACTTACCGTAACATAGCTAGATTAATTTGAACTAACTGTTGAAAAAATTTCTTTGCTCCAACTTCGTTAAGACGTCCACGATCTCTAGATTCCAAATAATCAAATAAATCTTGACAATTACGTAAACGTTCCATAACTAATATCCAATGGTCAGCATTCTCAAAATAATCATAAACATGAATAATACCTAAAAATTAAAAAAAAAAAATAATTTTTTTTTTTAAATTTCAATTTGTATTAGAAAAAACAAAATTAAACCTTGAATTTCATGTACAGCTTTATGTAATAAAACTTCAGCCGGATATTTTTTTTGATTAATCATTAACCAATTTTTTGTTTTTTCTTTTGGAATAAATTTAACAACAACTTTTTTATTATCACTCATACGAATTCCTTCATGTATATCAGAAAATCCACCACTTCGTACAAAATCTCCCAATTGATAATAATCACAAAAATTTGATTTAATTATATCAAAACGAACCATATTAAATAAATTTTGTTCAATAGTTAATGTATCAACAGTTGGAAGGAAATGTTCAATTGGTTTTTTTGATGATATTAAATCTCGTTTAGTTGATGGTTGTGTTGATGATGATGATGATGTTGATGATGATGATGATGAACAACTTGATGTAAATGGAATTTGTTCACGATATGTATTAAAATATTTTATCATTGATGATGATGTTGAATTTTTATCATGTGTTGTTGTTTGATCTTGTTCATGATAACAACCAACTGGTAGTACACGTGTTGACATTACTGATGATGATATTCCTATTGATTCGTGTAATGAAGATGATGACGATGATGATGATGAAAGTGAAAAAATAGCTACAGATTTTGAATGATTTTCATTTAGCTGTTGTGTTGAGTCCACTTCCGAAGATTTATTTTGATCTTCTACAAAGATAAAAATAATATTTTTGATTTTCAATCATTAAAAAAAAAAAGAAAACTACAAAACAGGATAATACAGAAGTAACATAGACATACACACAGTCTGTTCTGTTTGCGTTTAGTTTGACCGTTTAGAAGCAAAATATACAAACGGCTATTTTTGCTTTCCTATTTCTTGTCTATCGGTCGATGTGTCCATCATACACAGTAACACTCTATCGAAAAAAAAAAAAAATTTTTTTCCTCTTGTTGTCCGTCTTTTACCCTAACCAATCTAATACACATATACATTCTGGCTTTTTTTTTCGACAGCTGGAGAAAGAAAATGTACTCGTCCGTCCTAGTCGAGAATATTATTTCTTTCTATCTGTCTCTCTTGCTCGCTCTCTCTTGACACTTTTTTTCTCTTTTATCGGTACTTTCGTTTTTTTTTCTTTTCTGCTATTATTTTGCACCACGTATGTGTCCAAGGACTTCTTTTTCTCATATATACATATACGGGATGCATTGTATGTCAAATGCACTCTAACTGATGGTCGTAGTTGAAGTTATATAATGAAAGAAAAAAAGGAAACGGAGCTGTCAAAAATGATTCGTTGGATGGTATTTATGTTTATTGAACAAATGAATATGTGGATAGATTGTTGTTCTGACCAAAAAAAAAAAAAAAGAGATTAAGCAAAGCTAAAGAATCGATAGAAGAAGAAGAAGCAGAACTCGTCATAGGAAACAAAAACGGTACTGATGAATATAAAAGGAATAATTTTCAATGTACCAAACTGATGACAAATAAAGAGAAGAAAGGTTTTTGTGGTCGATGATTGCGGTTAGATAGAATAATCATATGCATGTAGCATGTAATTTAGACGTCAGCATTATTATTAAGCAACAAAAAAAAAGAAGATAGACATATCATCTGTTTGTTTTATTCTTTTTTCTCTACTTGGGACTAATATTAACCACAAGGTCGTGAAGACTTCTCTTTCTCACGCAAATACAATTATACATCAGTTCAATTTCTTTTTTTGTCTTGTCAATAATAGAAAGAAAAAGAGTCGAGAAAGAACGACCTTGTAAAAAACGTTGACATCACTAAAGCTGCAAAATAATAACAACAAAAACAAAACTTCCTTCTCTTCTTTTCTCTTCTCGTCTTTCTTTCTATTTCTGCATCTGCCTTAGTTTTTTCTTTATTATTTACTTCTACTTCCGAGACCTTGCAATATCATCTTCATCATATTCAATCATTACTACTATTTACTACAACCTTGTTGTTCAACATACGAACTAAGCCACCGAACGTGAAAAAAAAAAGGAAAAAAAGAGAAAAAAAAAATGATAGAAAAATATATATAATTAGCTATAAAACCTTGGTTTGCGAATTGCAAACGAACGATCAAGTATGAGAAAAAGACATTCAAGGTTACGAGACGGCAAAGAGCCTTTTTGTCTCTATCCATAAGTGTAAAAGAAAGAACGAGAAAAAGAAAAAAGAAAGAGAACATAGTAATATAATTTTGACAAAACTCACATCGTTGTTATGTGGAGGAGGAGAGGGAGGTGACGACCATCACTAGTACAAAACAAAACATACAACAACAACAACAAAACTAAGCGAGTAAACAGCAACAGAAACAGATGTTGCCTATGCGTACACATAGCCAAATATAGACATTCACTCAGACAGAAGAGAAAAAAGAATTATAGTGTGAGATTTTGTTGATCGAGTGAGTAAACTATAATGATAAAAAATCATTCTATGTAACACAAGTGCTCGGAAGTTAATAATAAACAAAAAAATGTATATATACAATTTCTAATTTGTACTCTGGCAATTTATTAAGAAAGAGAGACACAAAATCTATTATAGGAGTCTCTTTGTTTTTCAGTTGTTTTCTGAGAAATATCGTATTGATAGTAGTCGACATTTGCTCGTTTTTCTTTTCTCATTTTTTTTCTTCTTCTAATTCTATTCATCAATCTCTTTTTTAATTTAACTATGCAATCAAATGTCAAAAAGAAAAAAGAATCAAGAACAGTTGATTAATATCAAAATAAAATATGTTCATTTTCTTTTTATTATTTTTTTCTTATTCAAATCATTAACTGATGTTTGACAATTTTTTTTTTTTTGGTCTCCAATACATACTTGATGTTGATGTGACGACTGATGTCTTGTTTTTATTGGTAGATTTGCATAGATGTCTTACGTAATAGGGTAATTTATTTGTGAAAGATATAAGCTGACAGTCATCGTCATGATTGGTCTCTGGTAAAGCTGTTCGATGTGCCATTAGATTAGTTTTTTGTCAAAATATAACCATTATCAATGCCTTTATGAACACTTTATTCTTTTCCCCGTGTCGAATTGATTTCGACTCCGACAACGGGATACCTCGTTAGTCGACAATGTGATGTGAACAATAATCACTCGTATTCACACTAATCTATCTGACGAAGCGATCAGATGCGAGCAAGCTGTGTCAGAGAACGAGATGACAGAGAAAATGAATAGAAGAGAAAATCTTCTTCGTCGGTCGTTTTTTTTTCTACGGACAGGAAAAGAAAAGAAAAGAAAAAAAAAAGACTTTTCTTTCCTTTCGTTATGTACATAAAATTGAATAGTTATTTTTCTCTCTTTTCTTTTCTGTTCTTTTGGTTCTCAGCTGTCTTCTAAAATAGATAGAAAGTATGACTTGTTGAGTTTCAATAGTAGATTCATCATCGAATAAACCCTATAATTTATTATTAGTGAAGAATAAATGAGTGTACGTGTAGCAAAAGAAATAAAATAGAATAATATATCAACATAATCATTAATATCGAACTTCGATATAATATAGTTATGTGTATGCACACGTTTCAATAGTAAAAGAAAACGTGAGAATAAATGAGAACAGACAGACTAGTAAATTTGTATGCAGTAATTTTTATTCTCTTTTAAAAGATAACAATGAAATAATCTTACCCGATGACATCCTTTCATTTCTCGTATGACATAAAAATTGTTTTGATTTCTTCTTGAGAATAGAGAACAATCTCATGTTTCCTATTTTTGATTGAATTCTTTTTTTTTTTTTTTTTTTAATAGTCAATTTGTTCCTGAACTATCTCAAAGTTTGTTTATATGGTATTTGTTTGTTATGTTTGTATATATATGTGTAGATGAAAACAGTGACAGAATAAAAATATAAATCGCGTTATATCGAAATTCTAATAGATCTACAAAATATAACATATTACATTCGTAGAATTTCGGGTGATATAATTATAACACATACTAAAAAATGAATAAATATACTTACTCATTGGACTCATTGCATTGAGTCTCATTCGTTGTTTCATGAGAAATATTGATAAATATTTGGCAATATATTTACAAATACATTAAAAAAAAGCGAGTAAATAAGAATTGTTTGTGAATAGTCACTCTTTCTGTGAATGTTTTTTTTTTGCAATTTATATTTATGTTTGATAATTTTTTGTTCTTAAGATAGGTGCGTGATTCTACGTTTAATATCAGCCAGCTGACTTTCATCTTTTATGCTTTTTGATTACTTATCATCCACGTCGTCATCATGATTATACAGTATTTGTATAAAATGACAAAGAATAACGTAACGTGTTGTCTGCTCTATGCGTGATGAAGCACGGAAGTCAAGAAAGCAAAATTTAATAATACTTTATATAGTATACGATAAAAAAACTTATAACTCATAAAAGGACCTTGTTCTTTAAAAAGATAATGATATCATTTATATAAGTATTGAACTTAAAAATAAGGATAAAATAGATATGATTAGTATTAACTTTTGATCACTATTAAATATTATTCTATTTATTAACATTAAATGTACTTTTATGTAAAACGCCTACATAACATTTATAATCTCATTCTCGTTTTTTTTCAAAATACTAGATTATTTCTTTATTTGAACAACCTTGGAATTTGATATAAAAAGAAAAATTTTTTTTGAATGTTAACTATTTCAATATTATTATAGAAAAATCAATATAATTTACGTTCTTAACTATATTCTTACGAGATTCATGATATATTATACATAAATAAGATTCTCTTCGTATCATATGATCGTTTGATTACTAGATCATATTAAATAGAAACAAAAAACGACTGTCTCATATTTTCTTTTTTTTTTTTTTTAGATGATAACTAACTCAAGTTTTTTCTGTCTAAAATTTAGATCATAATAATAACTTCCATTTATCTATATTGTACTGTTTTTCTAGACAAAATTGTGGGACAAAGTTCCTTATCATTTTTTCTATGATTTTTTTTTTGTTTTATCAAAAAAGTTTATATCCTATGCTGCTAGAAGGTACAAAAAGAAAATTATTATCTTACTATATATTTATTTGACCATTTCTTGGAAATATATGAATATAAACTCGTTAATATTTTTCTCAGGTTATTTTACGGCATAAAAGTATCTTTAGTTCTTTTATGGACTTTGACATATGTGTTTAATTCTCAAACAACCTTCCACCCCCTCACATCGTCTATGATGTAGGTAGATGTGACGTCATTTGTATAGTACGATTGCAACATATTGCAATGGTAGAGGCACAATACAAATATAAGTTTTTAATAACTCGTTCGTTTTTTAATTCGTCGAAGTCTATCGATGAAATGATCAAGAAAACTAATTCATTTTTGATTAAGTTTTATAATCAAAGAAACCCATATGTGCTCTAGTAATCGTATTACCTAAAATTCAAAGTACATTTTATGATAAGAAAAATAATAAAACATTTCAAGTGCGTCATGAATTGACATGCAGGTATGCTATCTTTCTTAAAAAAGCAAATTTTTACTTATTTGAAGAATGAATTAAATCAATTATGATATCAGAAGAATATTTAGAAAAATTTGTTTGTTTTAAATTGGAACGTACTGACCAGGAAAAAAAAAGTATAAAAGAGGTTATTTTCTATATTTAAAACTGACAATGTAAACAAATTGTATAATATTTAACTCACATAAATCTAAAATAGTTTTTTTTTTTTGGCGCAAAAAATAATCATGTTTGGATTATTAGCAGCATTGAATTTTTTGCCGAAACAACGTGAAGGTCGTGAAGCATTAAAATATGAGAATTATATTCGTACAGGTCAAGGATTTTCATCAAATAAAATTTATCGTGAATCATCAGTAGATAAACGAATACGTAAAGAATTAGCTGCTATTCGATATAAAGAACGATTACAACAACAAGTAAAATTTGTACGTTTAATGAAAAAACTTTTAATTAAAATTGATCATGATAGATTAAAAGAAGAAATTGATGAAGAATTAGAACAAATGCGTAATAGAGTTGCTCAACTTGAACTTAAAGTTGAAAAAGTAGCACGTACAAAAGATATCAATTGTGAAGATATGTTTAATATGGATAAACCTGATGATGTTTATGACATTGAACTTGAACAGATGATTCGAAATGTTATATCGAATGTTACAACTACAGAAAATATTTATTCTAAAACAAGTAAACAAACATCAAATATAATAAATGAAAAATTAAAACAAGTTAATATACCATGTGGTGATAATATAAATATTCAAACATTAGATATTAATAACGATAATTTACATGATCATGGTGATCAAGTTCTTATTGAACGTATACGAAAAAAAGAAATAAAATGACAAGTAATTGATTTTATTAAAATTAAAAGATAATTATTCACAAAAGCAAGTCATAAATAAGAGTGTCAAATCTTAAAAGAAACAAAGAAATGCTACAAAAAATCAAAAAAAAAAGAACAGACATTTATTGTTTGTATGTATGTGTGCAGAAAGATTGACAAGAGATCAACTTGTATCAGTAATATTCAATACATTGTTTATCTACACAGCAGTTGTTATTCTACGATTAGCGTTTGCACTTTGTGGATGGAGCAATTTAGAAGCATGATGAGCCTATAAATCAAAATACGAAAAGAAATATTCAATAGTGAACGATAAAAAAAACAAAGTAAAAATTAAGTGCATTTATACCTGTACGAGTGAAAAACGTCGAAGTTCATCACGATCGACCGAAATCACTGGTGCATCAGCACCTTGAACTTTAAGCATTCGAGCAAAATTTCTATGATGATGTGTTGTTGATAGAACTTCTATATTTGGTGCATAATATTTAGCATGTGCTTGAACAAATGTTTCACGTCTTGAACGTAAACCTTCTCCACTTCCCAAAGTTGAACGACGTGATGGTGGACCCGATGGAACACCACCAGCAATTGTACTTTTACGACGAGTTCTTTGTTCTTCTGTCGATGGTTCAGCTGTTAAGAGTTCTTCAATAGCTTGTTTTTGTTTTGGATCAAAATAAGCACGAAGTGAAAACTACAATAAAATAATAAATCTTCAAAATAGAAATTCTTTTATTTTACTTTAAGAAGATCAAGTGGAAAAAACCAAACAATATTCCATATCCAAACAATACCAGCCCATGACCAACCACAACCTTGAATATCTGTAAAACCCCAATTAGCATAAACAGCAATAAATGTTGCAACAAGTTGTGCTACAGCAAATGCAACAACTAATATTATTGATGGACGTTCCATAAAAAAGAAACTACGTGAACGTGTTGTAAATATTAACGCTTGACTTATTGTTGATACTTGTAAGTAAATAATTGAATGTAATTGATCATGATTCCATCCTATATAGTTATCTCCTGGTTGACCATATGGAAATTGAGCAACACCAAATTTATCATGAAAAAATGTTGTTTTCACAATAACAGTAAAAAATATAACTGTTGACAAAGCTAAATATATACCATAAACAATAGCATATGTAAATATTTCATTTAAATTCCAACTATTTGGATATGGTGATGGTTTAACACGATCTTTTGAAATAGTCATTATTGTACCATCATTAAGTATAGCAAGTATAAGTACCTAATCAAAAAAAAAAATTCATATATGAAAGAAAAACGAAATTAATTTTACCATAAATGATGGAAAATCAAATTTAAAAGCAAAAATTAAAACAGAAAAACCAACTAATATACGAATTGTTACTGAACATGTATAAATTGAATAATTTCTCATACGTTGAAAAATTTGTCTTGAACCAAGGATAGCTATTCATAATCAAAATAATTTTATTTTCTCAGCAAAAAAAAAAAAACAAATGTTTTTTTTTACCTTCAATTATAACTGATAAACCAGGTTCAGTTAAAACAATATCAGCAGCTGAACGTGCTGCATCCGATGCATCAGCAACAGCAACACCAACATTTGCTTTTGATAATGCAGG